GCCACAGCAATGCACCCGGATGAAATCACATAGTCAATCTTGCCACGACGTATACACCGACTGCAAATACAGGGTAGCCAGCCGGTCTGAGAACTGGCTAACCTCCCTGTCCTTCCTCATTTATTCCTCCTCCTCCTCCCGAGTGCAAAAATATATGTTCTGGATCCCTTGATTGTCTCTGAAGCTCCATTGATTGTATTTGAAGCTGAAAATAAACCCTGATTGATTGATTGGTTGGTTGATTGATTGACTGATTTCGAATTGCGACAACGTGTACGCATGCGTCTGCTGTGCAAGGCGGTTGCCATCACAGAGGATAGAAAAAAATCGCATAGCTATAGTGCATAGATATATTTCTAGACATTAGCACAGCCGATCCTCCATGCATAGCCGCCATGGTGGCCGGCAACATCGGCCGGCTGCGCTATCTGAGAAAGGGGGAGTCCGCCACGAAAACATGAAGCAGTACAGTTGTTTCCCGGCGTCACAGCTTCGAAAAGAGCCATACCACAGCTTCGCACCTTTTATTTATAATCAACATCTCATTAGTAATTGATCACAACTAATTAGTCTTCAGATATCGGGGGACGCAGAGTAAAAAGCCACTTCGGCGTCAAACTCTGGAGGCTACGCTCGAATACAACACTGTCGAATTCCACAACGCTGCCGTTTCGTTTTTTGCTTCTACAATGATTTGATTGGCTCACAAACGAGGTTCTCCTTTTCTGATTGGTTCTGAACAAAAGAAACATGGCGACACTCAACAGCATGGCAGAACTTGAAGGAGTTCGTACTCTAGCTAGTGATGTTTGTATGCTTGCACGTGAACTGATGCGCCGACGAATTGACCATTCTCTGCGGACTTTCAAGTTCGGTCGGACTCCTCGCCAATTCGCTCGTGGTTCTCGCGCCAATTTTCGTCGCACAGTCGCCGTTTGCGCTGCGTCAACGTCTGACTGTTCGGTGTCAACATTCGGCGTCTCGTTTCAAACATGGCAGACGGATGGAAGTACACCCTGACCGGCTTCGGCGGCTTCCTCGAGATGCGCCGGGTCGCCTTCGCCGAGCCGATGCCAGTCACTCGCGTGTGCGGCCTGTGCGGCCTGCTGCCTCCCCGAACTTTGCTGCTGCCGTGCAGCCATGTTTTGTGCGAGAGTTGCGAGGCTCAGCTAGCGCGTCGGAAAGACCGCCGCTGTCCTTTCGACGGGAAGAAGTTCGCCGACGAAGAAGTTCACAGGGTGAGCGTGCAGGCGTCGTGAACTCGACCAAAGCCGCGTCGTGTGCTCGGCCGGCTCCCAAGTGTGCGGCTTCTCCGGCAAACTGTCCGGGCTCGCGCGTCACCTGACTCAATGCGGCGGCGGAGAGGTGCGGTGTTGCAAGTGCCAGCGACCCGTGTCCCGCCAGCTGGCGTTGGATCACTATCGGAGCTGCTCCAGCGGCACGCTGGGTGCGTCGAGTGGCGAAGCTGCCGCCTGCGATAAAGACGCTCCCAAGGTGGCGAACGTAGAGACAGGCAGCCGAAAGCTGGTGTCCAGCAAGGGCGTCCACTTCGAAGCCGTGATGACGGGCTGCTGCGACAACGCCCTGGCGGACAGGGTCGCCAGTCTCGAACGTCAGTTGCTCTAAGTGCTCAAGACGTCCCGAAACAGGAGGCAGCCTTCGGTCGCCGATGCACGACGGAAGACCGTAATCCAGGGACCGCTCCGCGCCGCATCCAAACCCGGCGTTCTGATCACTACGTGCAAGTTCGCCAACATTTACGCGGGGCTCGACTCGCTGAACGGGAAGAGGACCAAACTGAGCCATTTCACCGACACGTATTTGCTGGGAGGTTACACCTTCGCCCTCCAGTGCGAGTTCACGAAGAGCGAGAACGAGGTCAACGTGGCATTTTCTCTTTATTTACGCGACGGTGAATGGGACAGCTACGTGGAGTGGCCTTTCGAAAAGGACGATCACCTTGGTCGTCGTGCACCCCAAGGATGCATCGGGGGACGTCCGCCTGCCTTTGATGATCGACGAGCACAGTGTGGTGAAGAAACCCCGAGGCGGTGCTTGGAACTGGGGCATGAGCACTGTCACGATTAACTGGAACTACATTGAACTGCACGGATATGTCGACAGAAATGCCCTCTCCGTCAACGTTGAGTTTGAGGAACCAAGGCGCATCCTTACTAATGGCGTCGGCTGATTCAAGGGCTCTGTGTGCGAGGCAGGTTGTCAGCATGAGTGCATATACGGACACAAGACTGGTGTCATTGAACATTTGAGCATAACCTGTGTATGTGCTTTCAACTGAGTGTACCTCCTGGTGCATGTTTTAAGTTTAATAAAACGTTTATTACCAATTTATTTATTTTTATTCTAACGTCGTCACGGTCTGCTTGCAGCTGCACAGAGGGACCTCCTCTTCTCTGGACGGCACCACACCCAGGTCTTCAAGGCGGGTCTTCGCTTCTTGGGGACACTGGACCGGAGGAGCGGCTATACCAGCCGCCAGCCGCGTCCTATGTCATGAACGCCATTTCTCTTATTCTGTCTTCTCCACATGTTTAGTAAATACCCTGTCCCCCATTCCCCTACAGGCGCCGAGCCGTGCTGCCAACGGAAGTTGCATCTTTGCCTTTCCTCGCCCTCTTTCAAGAAAAAGTGCTAGAAAGCGTATTGAGCAGCGTTGCTTTCTTTTAACCGTAAACATGTATCCCTGCGCATTCAAGGATGAAACACTACAAATAAGTGATTTCACATACTGTCATGTGCTTTTTCATCATGTCACCATCATCCACCAAGCTTCCGTCTTGCCACCGTCATCCAGCTTGCTCACCAAGCCTTCCACCAAACACGTTCTACATCGCCACCATCAGCCGGCATTTTCCACAGAATTCACCATTGGCTCGCCACCACCATCTGCCATAATTTTTTCCAGTCTCACTGTAATCATCCATTATGACCACTACGGTTTCCACCATATCCACGATTCTTTCCACTTCATCCACCAACACAGAATTTTCAATAGGGTACTGGAGGATAAACGAGACGAATGAGCGTTGAGACGCGGTAAAAAAATAGTTTCGTTGTAAAGGGTGGCGTCTGCACGATGCGAAAAGCCCGAGAACACGGACTCATGCAAAAGGGAGGCCTACATACAGTCGCCTCTCGCTGCAATTCGCAGAAAAAAAGTTTGAAAAAAGAAAACGCACATATTTTGTTTGCGCTGTTTTATTACTGCTCTCAAGTTTTGTTCGTCTATTGCAAGTAACAAATTACACAAAGTATGGGTTGTGTCAAATAATTACCTGCACTGTCACGCGCTAGCGTAGGCGACGTCAGAGCATAGTCGTCAACATTTACATATAGAGGAGCGACGTAACAGATCTACCGTCTATGTACAGCCATTCCATAGTGTATACGTCATCCCCTCAATCTCTGAGCGCACGCCCGTAAATACCGCTTGTCCCGCTTGCCCTTTCTGGCATTTGTTTAGCGCGACCACTCCCTGAACTAAGGCGAACCGACGGCTGCCGTTGATAAGCGCGCGTTTGCATACTCGCTCGCTGTATTTCGTGCCGACCGGTTGAGCCCCCGCGACCTCCGACGACAGCGCAGCTTTGGCCGACTGGCTCACCCTACGCCATCTCCTGACGCCGACAAGAGCTCTCACTGAGTGGTGCCCCGTCCTCGGGCTTTTGCCACCGTGTCCCTCTTTCCTATCTTCTCCTTACTTCCGTATATGTGACCATGACCTACTACACTCCTGACCTGTTCAGATAGCGGGGTTCCTATGGGAGCGCGTGTCCCCGCTCTCGTTCAATCGCTCGCCGTAGGTGGCGCTACCTATAACCTGTTCGTCTGCTACTTTACGGCTGTTTGGACGGCGCTAGAGTAAGAACGGCTGCATTCCGTGATGAACAGCCGGCATATATGTGACTATTTTTTCACTTAGATGACTGGTCAAGTAAGCTGTTCAGTGTGACGAAAAATTTATTGCACACTGGTGGACAAATGCGAGAATCCGTAGACTTACATAGTGTAGGACAGCATATGTGATGTTGCGTCCATTTAATTGCAAAGAATTTGTGAATGACTTTTGAAATATTTGTTTCAAAATTATTTTTCATTAGTGCATAATAATTACGCAATATGAGTGCTCTGTTGGCCGAAATATGACCACGAACACTCAAGCTGACGTCAGCGAACAGGTGCTGACTAGCGCCACAGTGCTCCTAAGTTACGGCCCTAGCGGCAGAAGGTATGAACTAGAACGTGGGCGCTGGAAGAGGTGCTCTCTGGGCAGGTCAGGAGTGTAGTAGGTCATGTATGTGACTGTCCCTGCGCCTCTCTCTCTTCTTGTTCATCTCTATATCTCTAAACCATTAGCTCCTCCCTATCCTTTTTAATGCCTTCTTACCCCATCCCCTGCGCAGAACTGTGGATGTGCCCTCCATTGAGTGAGAGCCAGTAACGGAACTGCGCTCATTTCTTCCTTTTCCCCTTTCAAAAGTCACTTACAAGCGCGCGTTAGCACTAGCATTTAAAGAAATCATCCATGAAAGAACGAATGGAAGCGTTGCTCCATGCTTCAGTCGGACATTGTCAAATTCTTCTAACGTTGCCATCTTGTTTCTGCCACATGTTTGCTTTGATTGGTTCACAGACAAACATCTCTTCTTCTGATTGGCCCTCATTAAAAAGAAGAAAAAACATGGCGGCATTCAAAAGCATGGCAGATCTTGAAACTGTCGGCGTTCGTACTCTTCCCAGAAACATTGAGCGCGAGGCGGACACTGAATTGCCGCCAGCACGGAGGAAGGCCGCCAGTCTATTCTCTGCATAAGGCAAGTTCGGTTGGAGCGCGCGCTCGGCTCGCTGCTTTCGCTCCAATTTCAGTCGCACGGTCGGCCATTGCGTTGTATCGGCGAGGCTGCGCAAGATTTTCGCACGCTCAGAGTTTTACTCTTTGCTGTCGACAGTTCTCGGTCCTTCGGCGTCTTATCTCAACCATGTCGGGCGGCTGGGAGTACACGCTGACCGGCTTCGGCGACTTCCTCGAGATGCGGCGGGTGCTATTCGTGGAGCCGATGCCGGCCACTCGCCTATGCGGTGTCTGCCGCTTGCTGCCTTCCCGAACTTCGCAGCTGCCGTGCGGCCACGTTTTCTGCGAAAGCTGCTACTCGCAAGTGCCGCAAGGAAAGGACCGCTGCTGTCCGTTCGACGGGAAGAAGTTCACCGACTCCGACGTTCAGTCGTTGAGCATCGAGCTGCGCCAGCTCGAACAATGCTGCATCGTGTGCGTGGCCGGCTCGAGTGTGTGCAACTTCTCCGGCAAACTGTCCGAGCTCGCCGATCACATGGCTCGGTGCGGCAGCGGGGAGACCAAGTGCGGAAAGTGCGAGCGAACCGTTTTCCGCAGTCTCGCGGTGGATCACTACCGAAAATGCACCGGGCCGTTGCGTGCGGCGAAAGCCGAAGTCGACGCCAAGGGAATCGGAGGCGCTCCCAATATGGTGGACGTCGATAGAAGCACGCGGGAGCTGATGCTGAGCAAGGGCGTCGACCTGGAAGCCGTTTTCAGCTGCTTCACCAACGCTTTGGCCGAAAAGGTGGCCACCCTCGAACGTCAGTTGCTCGAAGTGCAGAAAAATTCGTCGGTCGCGACTGCGTCAAAGGCGGCGGAAATCCAGGGGCCGTACCGCGCTGCGTCAAGAGCTGGCGTTTTGATCACCACTTGCAAGTTCGCCAACATTTACGAAGGGTTGGACTCGTTGAACGAGAAGAAAAAAGAACTCACCAAATCAACGGACACGTATTTGCTAGGTGGTTACACTTTCGAGCTCAACTGCAGGTTCACTAAGAAGGAGAACGGCGTTTACCTTGCTTTTATTCTTTTCTTGCGCGACGGCGAATGGGACAGTTACGTGGAGTGGCCTTTCAATAAGAAGGTGACCTTCATCGTCATGCACCCAAGGAATGAGTCAAAAGACATCCGCTTGCCGGTAACCATGGATGGCCACGATTTGGTGAAGAAGCCTAGTGCCGGAGCTTCGAACTGGGGTCGTTACACGGGCGAAAAAAACTGGAAGGATATTGAAATGGCAAGGGTACGTCGACAGGGGTGCCCTCTTTGTCAATGTAGAGTTTGAGTAAGGAAACTCGTATCGTTACTAGTTGCATCGGCTGATTGAAGAGCTGTGTATGCGAGACAAGTCGTCTGCGTGAGTACTAAAGAGAGCACAAAATTGGTGTCATTCAACATTATCACACTGCTGAGCATAACCTATATCGCTTTGATTTTCAAACTGAGTGCACTAGCTGGATCGTGTTTTCGTGTTAATAAATCGTCGAGTTAAGTTGTGTATGCTTGTTTGTGTGTGTCTATTTTTTCCCCAGGCTTTTGTCTGACTTGTACCGAAGTAGTTAACGGAGACATAATAATCCTAGCGGGTCCATTAGCGCAGCCAGTGGAACATGTGATGTCGCTTCGACCGATGGGGTTTGAGCATGCGCATTTGAAATCTAAAGGTGGATTCACATCACGTGATCTCGATAGCCTATTCTCAAGACGCGCGCTTTCGCAGAGGCACGTGATCGCTCTTGTGAATGGTTGAGAAGCGCACTGACGGTGGCGGTGATACACGCGTAAGCCACCGCACCAGCACAATGCTTACGGCCTTATCATTCGTGCAGTTGTTGGACGCTAGCAAAAATTTCGTCATCTGCAAACAGTAATAGAGCACGGCGCATAGTTGTGGAGAGGGGTAGGGTGAAATAACGGGGCGGAAAAGAGAGCCACATTGCCTGACGAGCGAAAAACTGGTCGCCACCTCTCCTGCACTCCTCTGTTTTACAAAGCGGCGATGTTTTGTGCAAGGAATTCCCGCTTTTTTTAGGAATATTCCGCTGTCGTTTTGGGTGACAGAAAAAAATCACAGCATATCCACTGACTGAATGATGAGTGGGGCGAAGCGTCCGTCAGTCCGTCCGTTCGTTCTTGCTTCCGCGCGTCCGTCTGTGTAACCGTCTGCTTGTCTGTCTGTCCATCTAGTGAATACTCAAGTACGACCATCTCGCATCTGTTTATAACATCTGCATTGGTTTATTCCACCAACAACTATCACCTAGCGGTGAATCCTAGAACGAAGTGGCTACGCACTGCATCGTTACGATACGGGAATCGTTACGATATTGCTAAGATTTCGGGAATGTGAAATCGCCCTGCAGTGTGACGACCGAAACATAAGGGTCACGCTACGCTTTCGGCTTCTGCAATCGGTTGTAGCGCATGCGCGAAAGCATAGCCATTTTCCCGCCGCGGTGGTTTAGTCACTAAGGTACGCGGCTGCTGACCCGCAGGTCGCGGGATCGAATACCGGCTATGGTGGTTGCATTTTCGATGGAGGCGAAAATGCGGTAGGCCTGTGTGATAAGATTTGGGTACACGTTAAAGAACCCCAGTCGGTCAAAATTTCTGGAGCCCTCCTCTATAGGTTTTCTCATAATCATATGGTGGTTTTGAGTCGTTAAACCCCACATATAAATCAAAAGCATAGCCATTGAGTTTATTATTTATATTTCTGATACTTACGTGGGGCGATTTGTATTACATCGAGGATGTCAGACTCGAAACCCAAGTATGTATAAAGTACGTAAACAATGCTGCAAAGGCCAGCGATCTTGTATTGCAGCCAGTGTATGAGTGTGTGTGCACGTGCATTATTACTATCATTATTATTATTATGAAGGAAAAACAGCGAAATAGGAAATTTGCATGTCTCAGAACGGGAACTCTTCGGCATAGTACGGAACACCACTGTTATGGAGTGCACGGTGTTTCGTACTATGCTATATCCCACTATATCAGAGGCACCCCTCTGCGCGATTCTCGTATGATTGGCTGTCGATGTCCGACAAAATTACCACGCGGAAGCTCTGCTGGACATTTCTGTGAATACTTTCGAAACGAGGGAAGTATTACGGTCAAAATTTGTAGTAATATTGAACAAAAAGCAAGCGGGAAAATGTCTACATGCACAACCTCTTTACATAATATACACAGTGAGCGCACACAGCGCGTGATACTGTAATTGGACATCTAAACTAAGTTCTTGTATTAAATGCAGGCAATTCCTGAGGGCGAACTTTGTGACACACTTGCAGTGATGTATCTCTATAAATAAATGGGTTTTACCCGAATAAAGCCTTAATCAAGCGATAGCACTGCCACAGTACATAGGAGTTATAAAGGGAGGGTTTTGATTCACAGTTGAGATAAACAATTATGAGACTCACCAGAAGGTATACGGTTGGCAGTGTAAGCGAGATGGCAACAAAAGGGGCCAAGCGAGAAGTCAGAGAGGTGGAAAGGATTTATTGAATAGCTGCTATAAAAAAACGCTGCCATATTTACAAAGATGTTAGAGGAGCTTGCTCGGAGATGATCAAGTAACCTGCGAACATCTCTCGTCTTCGTATATAGATGTGACGACGTTGTTATATATACATTACATACACAATGTTTATTAAGTTACATCTGGATGCGCTATATAGATTTTGATGAACTCTACATGTCAAATATACATAAGAGATGCCCTTTTCAAAGTACAAGAAGGACGTCGCTCTACGAGCTCAAGGACTCGTTCTACTACTCTATGGAAGGACAATAACAAGAAAGAAGGCATGGCGGCTTTGCTACTTTACGCTGAGGGAATGGGAAAGGGGAGTATAAAGAGATAGAGGAACAAGAAGAGAAAGACACAAAACAAATTGTAAGTCAATGGGCTGACACGTATGCAGTAGTGGCACTACACAAAAGTTAAAGGCGTCCACATAGGTCCGTAGTCCTCAAAAAGCGCAAGAGGGCTCTACTGCTTTTTTAGCTGATGAAGTACAAGTATGGTGTTCCAGCAGCATCTGCACAGATAGTGGCCGATCGTCCAATAGTCGCAGTGGGTCAGAAAGTTTCTGTCTCTCAGAGGCAAATTGAGGGCAATGATATAGCAGATGGTCGATGTCTTCTCCTCGGTGCCGCGGACGTCGCATTTCGCACTGTCAGTCGATCCAATCAGAGTTGTATGTGTTTTTGCGAAGGCTAACCCCAACCAAAGCCGACAAAGGAGCGAAGCTTGACATCAACAAAGTCCGGATGGAGGTCGAAGTTCCAGTGAAGGGTTTATTTGGTGGAGTCTCGTATTCCTTATGATGGGGTGTTGAACTCCAGCATACACAGACTATGTGTCAGGAGGTGCAGTTGCCTTCCAGAGTCTGTCCTTGACAGAGGAAGCGGAAGGTGAGAAAGAATTTTCTTGGTGGGATGTGCGAGCCATGTTGTCTGCGTAATCATTGCCACTGATCCCAGAATGGCCAGGTAGCTACTGAAAATTGATCTAGTGGCCTGTTTCTGTGACGTGGTGAAGAAGCTTGACAACCGCGTACGTTAGCTCTTCGTGCTAATTTCGTCGAAGGACTGACTGCATGTTCTGCAAGGTTGCTTTCGAGTTGAAAAACATAGCCCGCTTGCTCAGTCTCTGGGATGTAATGTACTCTACGGCATCACGCAGAGCCACAAGTTCTGCCGCCGTAGACGTAGTGACGTGTGGCAGCTTGATTCGCTAGGTGATTTCCCTAGCTGGTATTACCACCGCACCACCACAACTAGACACTGTGGTTGAATATGTGCACGTGGTTATTCTACATTTCGTGCAAGAGGTGAAGGCTCAATTTTTTAGGACTGACTAAGGTAAATTTGATTTCTTCTGCATTGCTGGAATTGTAAGACGTAATTGTGGAAGGGTCAGGCACCGCGGAGGATATACCGATTTCGTCGTAGGCGTATAACCTGACGTAAACATGTACGATATGCACTTGCACTAAATTTCGTGCAGGGTCTATCAGTAGCGAGGCTCACCAAGTGGTGGGAAATGTCATGTTGCCTGGGGTACGTACGTATGCATCGTTTCAATGGTGGTGTGCGTCATGATCGAGTAGTCCTGTGCCATGTCAATGGTTTCAGCCACCGATGCACAGTGGGATAAACTAAGGCATATCTTATAAGAGCATGGGCTTGAATGTTTTGGAGTGTGTACAGTTTAGTTTTGCACATGTTAGATATTAGGATAGGCTGTACCGTAAGAATCTAATAAATAATACCTTGTACAGCTGTGACATAGACTCGACGGACACTCCCCAAGATTTTCCAGCAAGGAACCAGAACAAGTGACAAATGGCAGTCAGCTGCTTTTTCACTGTAGTTTACGTGTGTTGTCCAAGATAGGTCTCGGTCGATTATGACTCCCAAGAACCTTGTGACTCCGGCTGCATGACACCAATTTACCGTTAACTGACATGCTGTAAGCGAACATTGGCTGTCTGGTGAACGCCACGACTGCACACTTTCCTCTTGCAATTTTGAGCCCTTGTTTACGTGAATAGTGCGATGTCACTGATGCTGCCTTCTGAAGTAGAGCCCCAAGTTGAAGTCAAGTCACACCTGATGTCCACACACACGTCATCAGCATAAATGGAAAATCGTACGCTGCTTGGCTGCTTGCCAACTAGTCTAATGAGTGTTGGGCTGAACAACGTCGGGCTTAGCACACCGCCTTGCGGGACTCCTCGCCTAGCGTAATACTCGGGTGTTGGGCCATTCTCTGTATGCCCGTGAAATTCTGTAAGTAGCTGTGAACCCACGTACAGATCTTGCCACCGAGTCCTACTAATGCGATGAGAATGGCTTCGTGGGTGACATTGTCGCGAGCCCCGACAAGAAACCGAGCAGCAAATAAAACGTTCACAGGCCTTATGATGTTCTACATGCACCAAGTCAACTACATTGTCAATTGATGAGCGGTCTTGTCTGAAGCCAGACATGACATCTGGATATGTTTAGTAGAACTCCAAGTACCATTTCAGATGTGTTAAGATCATTTTCACCGTAAGTTTTTCAACACAGCTCGCGAGAGTGATCGGGCGGTATTTTGAAATGTTCAAAATTGACTTGCCGGCTTCGATGAATAGAATCAGGCGACGACTTCCATTCCAGTGGAACCATACCACTTTACCAGAAGTTGTTGTATAGTAGCAAGAGTGCCTTTCGAGCTTGATCTCCTGGGTGACACAGAGCGCGGTAGGTGATGCCGTTAGGTCCTGGCGCTGAAGAAAGCCTAAACAAAGCAAGCGCAGCTTTCAGCTCTTCCATTGAAAACGGACACTCCATTTAGGTATCACGTTAGGATAAAGAACAGTCGGGCGTCCTCGTCCCAGTTGAGCTTGCCCCACAGGCAATCCTTCGGCAGAAAGATTCTGCAAATCTCTTCGTAGCGTAGGTGAGGTCCCAGAGATTTAAATGGGTATAGCGCTGACCAGTGGTTGTACGAAGACCCCGGACAGTTCTCCAGATTACATAGCGACAGAGGCTTTCTTGAATCCAAGAACTCGCAAAAAGATGGCCATCGTCGCTTATTAAGCTTGTTCATGTGACGCTGTATTTTCTTTTGTGTGCGCTTGGCCACTCTCGGATCATCAAAGGACTCCGTGGGTCTCTAACGTCATTTTAACACGACGAATTTCTCGAAGTTTGTCGAGTTCAATGTCCATATCGCTACGTCATGAGCTCATCGAAAGCGAATGCGTGGTGGACTGTAGGGCACTCTTTATTATGTCTTCTAGGTTGAAGGGCGAGCCACCAACACAGTCTTCCATTATTAACTGGTCAATCGGTGCACTGGATGGCTCTGGAGGACTTGAGACTTGGAAAGCCATCAATCTTCAGGTATGTCGGGCTGTGGTCACTACCCCTTGTTTACAAATCTGGAAAACCAGTGCACTCTCCTGGTGAACGAGCGTGACACAAAAGTGAGGTCCAGGCAACTACTACACGCTGATCACTAAAGAAATCGTGGCACCGCCACTGGGACGAGGACTGCAACAAAGCCGCGTGCACGCGTCCACACTGCGCATGCGCGTCCGACGAGCCACCAGCCGGATTGCGACCGGACCAGGCGCTGCAGCTCGTAATGCTGACGTTCGACGATTCCATCACCAAGACCAACATGATCTTCTACCACGAGCTGCTTGAGGGTTCCCGCAGGAAAAACAAGAACAGGTGTGGCATCGCGGCCACTTTTTTCGTGTTGCACGAGTACACAGACTACACGGCCGTCAACTAGTTACACTCCTGAGACAGCGAGATCGTCTTGCACTCGATCAAGTGGGAGAGAGAGACATGCAAGTATTCTTATGCATTCACCTATAAGACGAACCAAAGACAAAGGCCCCCTCGTTTTCTTTTCAGTCGATGGAATGATGCGCCCTCATCCACCTCAAAAACCTTTGTGTCCCGAATGTGGTTTTGCACAGCCTCCAGCTTTGGAAGCACTTGAAGCGTTTCGCACCTCACCTACTTTTGTACTGCTTCCAAGATCGGCCCATCATTGACTAGGCGAAGGTGTCATGTGACGACGTGACCGTGTGCGTCACAACGTCATTTTTGGGCAGTCTGTCCCATCATATGGCGACTCACTTGATGTTGATTTTTTTTTTGCATCACTCACGTTGACGGCGACGGTCAATTTACTCGTTTGAAGAGGCATCTAAAGGCCTGAGCCGACATATCCATCGCAGTGCGTCAACACGAGGCTTTCTGACGCGACTCCGCGCCCTCTGCCAATAGAGAATGTGGGCGCGTGGCTATGCATAACCGCACGCTTTATGCACTACAACGTAGTGCACAAAGCAAACGCCTAAACGGGAAAGCACCAGAAGCCATGATGAAAGGTGGGCTAACACTACAGGATACCCACAAGAGAAACGGTTCGCTATGCTACGTCATGCATGCACAAAACGACCTTAAGTGCAATCATTAAGGCTGGACAAATATTTTAGGGCTTCAAATAAATATTTGAGTATTCAAATTCACTTGAAAGCTAATTTCAATTTTTCGAAATGAACGCACACAATCTTATGTAAACATGGTCTCACTGCAGTGTGGACCTGCTATGTGGTGAAACCACCTCTAAAAAAATCAACATTTTTGTTGAACACACTTGTATACTTAGCACAATGTATACTTAGCAATGTACACAATGTATACTTAGCACCGTGGAGAGTTCTTATATAGTAGACATATTACGCATCTTAAGTATTCAGAAAAGATTTATCAGTGCATACAGATGCATGCATCTGTTAATGTTAAACAGGATTATATGCGCTAAGTACAGTTATTTTAAAACATGACATGTTTTGCTGCTTAACTGGCACCCTATTGCAATTCAAATCTTGCTACTACTCAACTCCACTTGAAACCGAAAGATTGACATCGCCAAATGTAGTTCCAGTCATTAAAATGCTTTACAAGTTAGTTTAGTCATGACACACATGCTGATATTCAATGTCATGACTGCTATTCAATGCGAAATTATTTGATAAATTGCTTTTTGCTTTTAAACTCGCATTTACAGTTCATCCATCCCCAGCAATCACCCGTGTGAGAAGCACTGAATGTTATTTTGCCCTAGCATGCATGGGTGGTTGAATAAGTTGCCCATTCGTATGTCTGCAAGACTTCCAAATGATTGGTCCATCCCAAATACAACCACTGGATGCGATGTGATTTAGGAAGAGCCTCAAAGTGTGGTAAGTGTCTGCCCACCATAAAGTACACAAAGTTTCACCCCACAATCTCCAACTTCAAGAACTTGAATCTTGATAATTATGATGTCTGCAGGACTGGTTATGAGTAACTATACTATAGTATATTTAACAATGACTGCATTCCAATCACCATTTTCTTGATTTACCACAATGAAACGTATTTCCTGATGTATACAAAGAAAGAATGATAAGCTTCAGAACATTTTTGGCTTGATATGAAATGAAGAAATGCACTTCAGAGAATGCAGATCACAACTATGCACCCTGATGATGTAAGAGTAGCATCTAATATGGCTGTCTTGAAACAGTGCTTACACAAATTGAGCACATGAAGGTCAGCTTAGGAGACTAAGTTCACTTCTCCTAATCAGGCATGCATTCATTACTTTGCGTTATTATTGATTTATTTATTATTTTTTATTATAACAATATAGTACATTGCATTAAGACCTGCATGAAGATTGACATCAGAAATATAGCAGATATGCTGGCAATTCACGCTCAAATAACAAAGCTGAGTTTTTTTATTTTCTGTTCATCCCCTCGGAATGGAAACATGGGTGTGCCTGCTGCAATAAAAGAATAAAATTTCTTTGGCAGGCTCCCAATTGCTACAATGGAATAAGTTCTACTAGTTATGTCACAAAAAAAAAAATCTACGAACACTCCCACATAAATTTTGTTGCAACAATGTGCCAATTAATGGGTGCTTGTCAATTTGCCCTTTCATTACCCTTCCACAAGTTTTCCACAAAGCTGATTTGCAATACTGACAGTAAGCTTTCTGTCCCACTAAAGACAAAAGGTGTGGTTCAATGCCTCTTCGCTTGAATCTGCACACATTTCTCTCTTATAGTAAACGCAGGCAAGTGATAATACTTTAAAACATTACACTGTTTATTCCCCTTTCCCACAAATGTTGCAATAACCTCAAATCACAGTGACGACATCTCGCTGCCCGTCGTGTGCTGCTGCCTGAGAACGCAGTTCCAAGCGTAACTGTACAGCTGCTTGTTCACCTCCTTGAGCATGGCCACCTGCTTGCTCAAGTCTGCGTCCTCAAATGTGCTGCCCTCATCTTCGTCGCCGTCGACATCTCCGTCGCCCACGGTGAACGACGCGGCTGTAGACAGCAGTGCCTCGGCCAAGTCCAGGCGCGGCAATGCATTTCGCCTTGCCTCCTCCTCGCTGCTCATTCTCATCAGGCCAGATTCCAGTTGCACGGGTACTCCGTTCGGATCCTTGGCCGCCTGTGTGGTGCGCTTGAAGACACCCAGTGGGAGTGTCGGCGGCGACGGCCTCATGGACGTTAGGGTCACGGGCGTTGGCACGACCAGAACATTGGTGACGGCTCCCTTGTGGTGCAGGACGTGAATGCACTGTTTGGAAGCGACGTCCCACACTCGAGCTGTGCAGTCCTCGCTACCCGACACCAGCAGCTGGCCGTCCAGCGACGTCGCCAAGCAGGTCACCTTGCCCTCGTGGCCGAGAAACGTCGCTTCCGGACGCTTGTTACCCGTGTTCCACTTGTACAGGGCCACCTGTGACAGTAAAATGGGCAGTCAGTGCCGCACGTAGCCTTGCTGGGCTTCTAAGCTATCCAGCAGAGTGTGTTGCAAACGAATGCGACGAAGCCATGCGGGTTATATGCAGCAGCATAGAGGCGTAGGCTCACCGAGTCACTGCAAGCACATAAATTCGAGGAGCTTTGGCCCTAGTACGTTTCGTGCTATTTTCCTGGACTCCAACTTGGCGCTTGGAACCAGGACACTCCTAAGTGAATGCCTTCAAGGTCTAGGTATGACTTCTTTCCAAATTACCGTTATATACCAATTACAAGCCATGCTTTTGGCAAAGTTGAGCTGCGAAAATGTGCCTACATTGCTTGCAAAAAGACTGACACCACACAGCAGAAGTAAACGAAGCAGTGGAAACAGAGGGGTCACAGGGTGGTCATGCAGACTTTTCACGCAGCTTGGCCTGGCTTGACGATAGGACAAGCCGCGCAAGATCAGTGGGAGCATTGCCGAAAACAAGTTTTTGTTTTCACCTGCAATGCACAGCCTTCAAGATCCACAACTGAAATCGGCTTTTTGCATGCAGTTGGCAAAAGGGAGGCTTTTGGGATCTGCAGCAATTACCCAAATAGCTTCGGTAGCATAACTAATCACCATCGCTGTCTGACGAGCTTCATGCGATCATTCACGCTGTCCTGGCTCTTCTTAAAGGTCAGTGTGGCGGTCGTGCGAGTGTAATGCATGTGCTTTTTCGTGTACTGCATGTGTGTGTGTGCTGCTTAGCTCCTACTGCTGGGCCAGTGGAAAGCCATACAAAGGTTACGCTTCTGTAAATGATGCCGTTGTGTTGATGATTCGTCAACAAGGTCACGGTAGAATGTGCGAACACTTACACCAATGACACTGTTTAGGAGGAGATTGGTGCAGGGGTCGTATTCTTGGACAATGGCATTTGGACATGATGTTAAAGAGCCATTCAGTCATGCGTGAGACCTATATTCATCAAGTGCTGCGCAAATCTTGCTAACATTGCAGGCCAGGGGCACAATCTTGTACACATTCTCCGATAGAACAGAACACAATGTCAAGAAAGAATAAGAGAAAGCAAACAACCAATGACTTATGGGCAAAGGGAACACGCCCCAGAACAATGTGCCACATTTTGATTGTCTGCCAAGAGAATTAAGAAATGTTTTCGATGCATCAAAAAACTAAGAATTATTATAACTGAATATCGGTACTTAGGGGCATCGTTTTTCTAAGTTCAAAATTGAAAAGTGTGATGACTTCAACAATTTTTTTTTGTGTGCGTGTTAAAGCCTTGACTGAGCGATAGACTTTGGACGAGGCCACTGGTAGCTATTTTTACATACTGTTGACGTGGGATTGGATCAAGCCAGAGACAAAGGAGGCTAATTCACTTGTCCAACTCAAGAGGTCGCGTTTTCTGTAGTTGTCTGTAAAAAATATCTGTATACATTCTATAGGACAGAATGGTGCCTCCCTCTGTTCTGTGCTCTTTTTTATGTAGCAGACGACAAAATACATTCAGACCTTGTTAACTCGGCTCTCATGGGATTGGCGAAAATACCAAAGTTAACTTAATTTCAGATACTAATCGAATGGACCATGCAAACCAAAGAAAACTGTACATGGCACAGACAAAGCCTGATTTCAGGAAAAAAAAAAAGTGTTATTTTTGTCAGTCTCGTTGTCAAAACTTGCACTAGAACAATCATCTTCAACCTGCATCGAAATAGTTGGATGTTCTGAAAGTGTCGGCGCACCAAGAGAGTCAATGTTCATTTCACTGCGTAGCTTTCAGCTACAAAGGTCCACTTGAGGGAAGCTGGCCGTTTCACAAGTCCATGATCCACCATAGCAATGCATCTTCCAGTTTTGGGTGAGCTGCCGTCTTCCAGTTTCCAGTGTGCGTCTGCGTTTCCAGTGAACTTGCCGCTGTCAAACACCTAAAAATTTTTTGCTTGAATCTTCACGCAGTCGCTTCAAGGGCCCATAAACTAGCTCCAATATTTTTTCAAGCATTTCAAGTAAACGCGCGCATCGTATGCAGGATGCCGTTGGGATCAACGATTCTGCACGTGGCAGCGCTACGAGCCGTCGGCGTGCCACAAATTCCAAGAAACAATCCCTCCTCCTTTACGGGCCTTCGAGCCTCCACGTGACTCGTCGTGCCACATCTCTGGCGCGCCGAGCCAAATATGCCAAATATGCTGTCAAGCAAAAGCCGACGACTTCCGGTCAATCTGCAAGCAGCTGTTTGTGCTGCTTGTTGTTCGTCGTGTTGCCTGCGTGCGTGTAACACGTGCGGGGCACGGCGTGTCCCCATACGGGTCCATAGCGTTGGAAATCCTTTGAAGACATGTCCGCAGCACAGGTTTCATACCGGCATGATTACGGCAGCCATGGTTCGCCAGCAAGCACGCAACTGATGGAGTCGACCGTTGGAGTCGCAGCAACCAGAAGTAGATGGTGTTTCAAGCAGCATGTCAGCGATGACGTATGTCACGCGAAATTGGGAGGGGCGCTCGGCGAAAGGGCAAAGTGGGATTACTGCACCGGTTCGAAAGATTCTCACGGCTCCGTGTTCGTTGTACGCTTGTGCACAATTTCCCCACAACAACAGAATCTCGACCTCTAGATGGTTTACGGGCCCTTTAAGGTGCTTCTTTCAATGTCGTACTTTTTCATTATCTCCCGTCAAGAAACACCTGCGTTTATGTCTTTGAAGAACATCACCTTTCTTTTCTAAATCATTTGCTGGCATCTGTGGCCGCTTCACTGCGGCCACAGATGCCAGCAAATGATTCACCGCTTCACTGCGATGTGCAGCACAGTCACAGCGAAAGCACACTTGCAGAGTACCCACTATGCCATAAATCAATTATGTGCAATACAGAAGAATTCACCAAGCCATCTTTCGTCATTCTTCGGAGAAGGACGAAGCCTGTCTAGGGTTACTTTGCAACGCAATTCCAAGCACTGGCGTAGCTCAGTGGTAGAATACTGGGCTGGCACGCAGGAGACCAGAGTTCAAATCCCATTGTGTCCTTTGTTTTTTTTCCTATTCTGTTTTTTTTTTTTTCATTTTGCAGGATAGTGGTTTACGAACACCGGCAGCGGAGAACTAGGCGAACTCGACCCTTGTTCTGATCTCATAACAGCTTTCGCTGTAAAGGGAAAAAAAAAAAACACGAAAAGAATGCTACCACAGCCGACATTTCGCACACAGAACGGTACCGATAGTTCGATTTCACTGGCTTACACAAGACATGGGCTGCAAGACTTTACAATCAAATCCAGAACCACCATTCTTAGAAGCACCACTGAAGCCCCTTTCTTTCAAATATAGCCATGGAAAAGAGTTACGCTGATTCTGCACGAAACCATAACTGACAAGTACCAACAATGATTAGGCCTAGCCTGCGATCCAGCATGTTGTCGAGGGAAGTTAGTGCAAGACAACACGAAGGTTGGGCATCGAAAAAATCACACTCATGCACTGATCCAAAAGCAGTGCATGTAATATGATGCTTAGGTTCGCGGTCAGGAAATCAGTGGCGACTAAAGTCCGCCAAGCTTGTGCAAGTCCGCGTAGTTGCAGCAAAGGCGAAAGCTCGAGTCGGTAAGCCGAAATGCTTTTAAATTTGCCGACGAGGTATCGAACGCGATAACGTCGACACTTTTATCAACAGGAAACTCAATGCACACTTTGACGGGGACACGATCACAGGTTCCATGTAGAGGGCACGTGGCCGGGCTAGCTGCTGGAGCCACCCTGGCTTCGGTGCAAAGGACTCAGACACCCAAGCAACCACCAGTCTTCCTCACTTGGCGAGCTGGTGCCGTGCTACCACAGCCTTTTTTCTTTTCTTTTTCCTCGCATCAGTTAACGTAAATAGGCGTCAAATTGCAACCGTGCAAGTACGATACAGAACTGCTGATGACAGCCAAGTTCAGGACAAAAGAAAAATAATAAATTGATTTCTCGCGACCAAACTGGAGGTGCGCCTATTATGCGAGTGAATACAATGTACACAGTTTTTTCCCAAACCACGCAGCAAGCCAGAGTTTGAATTGACGAGATCTCGACAAACGAGGTTTTACTGTAATTCATAATATACTGCCATTTCCTGTTGCTGTTCTCACATATGACTGTCGCCTGAGCCCTGAATAATCCCGTATCCCGCACTAAACTCATGAAAGTATTATCGGACGGGTTAGTTTGAGAGTACTGTCCAAGGTGCCGCAACCAACACTGTTGCTGGCTGTAGCAATACTAGATCAACTAAGAATGCATGTGCGCTCAAAGAGTGGTGGCAAGAACCACATGGCGCAGCAGGTGCTTAAAAATGTGATGTGCTCGTCAGGCATGAGAAAGTGGACAAGGCAACACTGCAGACTTTCATTCAACAGTGAACATAGAAATCAACATGTGCACTTCAAGACCATGCTAATTATTCTATCTGTCCCACTTTATGGCTCTTGTGTTCCCCAGATCTCAAGTTTCTTTTTTTTTTTCTTCACAGCATAATGACAAATACATGAACAGCTTTCTATTGAATGCTTGAGCATAGCAAAGATTTGCAAGTAATTTTAAAGGAGCACTGACACAAAAGTTTTGCACCTTGCTTTCGTTTGTTGTTTTGTGATACGTAGCTTATGACCCACTCATCACAGCTGAAAACCTCGTTTGCACAAGTGCATGACGGTTATTTATTTAGAGATATTTGTAGAGTGCCCAGTCGCCGTTTCGGTTTCAAAAAGCTCCGAGCTGGGCAACATCAGTTCCGGTAGCAAGGTAAACACCGGTGGCCACGTGACCACGCAAAACTGCGAAGTGGTGGCATACGCACGCGCAAGAGCATGCACGAGCGGGCACTGCTCGGACATGCACAAAGCCGCAAACACGGAGGGAGAAATGACAAATAGCGCAAGGCGCATGCAAGCAAACAGCCCCCACAAACTCATAACGTAAGTTCGTTTACACTTCGGCTGCATTTATGTCAACGTTGTGAGAGGCTTCGCACTAGCTTAGTTGCATGGCATGCACATTAGAATTAGCTTTAATTTAAATTTTAACATTATTTTAATTTAAATTTAATTAAATTTAATTTTTATATTTTAAATTTAAATTTAGAATTTTAAATGGGGTCTAGACTATATTTGTTGTTGATATTTCGTAGATGTTGTGTGAGTCTCTTGATAAATCTATCTCACTCATTACCTCACTTTTGCAATTTTGTGTCAGTGCTCCTTTAATTCCTTTGCTTCTACAGCATGCCTCAATATGTGTCACCTAAACCACTGTAGGAGAAAAGAACGGCACATTATCTGTAACGTCGCTTCCATACTTTACGCCAAAAGACAAGAATACAAGAGACCTCTCTGGTGAATTGTTACTCAACATAAATTATATGTATAATGCATATAATTTATATCTCAGGCCGGTCCGCACACTTACCACCTAGGGCGTATGCCTCGGAGGCAAGCCTTTGGCAACGGCCGAGGTTGCTTTTGCACAGGCTACCCAAGGCATTGCCGGCGAGAACAGGACGGCAACATCCAGAGATCTGTGCTTGGGAATCTCAAAATGATTTCTGTTTGAAACAACCACGCTACGAGTTTAACACAGAGTGCAAGGTGCTTTTCACACAAGAAACTGAGCCTGCAGCTTCAACACGTCTCCGAAACGCTGCGAACATGGTAGGTACCAAAAGCCTCCATTTAAAATCGCAGCTCAGAAAAAAAAAACACAGACCTGCGCAAAACGCACAGCACTGTCACATCGAAGACTAGAAAAGCGGCCTTTCACAGCCTTTTTTAAACACTCTTTGAGTAAGTGCTAGAAACACACTTGCTGGGTACCTACTACACAATAATTCATTACAATTTTTGTGTAGTAGAGACGTATTCACTATGCCATCCTTTGTCACTCTTCCAAGAAGTGTAATTACCACTACACAATTGCAAGAAAGTGGCTGATGCTGTGGCTGATCACAATAAAGAATTACCGTAAATACCCACGTATATAACGAACCCGAATATAATACGAGGCTAAATTTTAGAGGCGCAAAATGAAAAAAAATTGTATTCGCGTAAAAAACGATGTAGGAAAGGTCACCGAAAACACATTTATTGAGCACGCATCCGCCATGTCAATCGCTGTCGTCTTCAACTGCGCTTTCCTCGGACATTTCCTAGTCAGGCAAATCGAAAAATAGGTGCTCGTCTTCTGTGCCATTGAGGGCATTAGAGATGCCGCACTTCTTGAAGGAATGATGCACAAGGTCTCCTGGGATGCTTGCCCAAGCGTCCACGATCCATTTGCATAGCGTGGCCGGCGACGCCCGTTTCAGCCGCCCGGTCGGCGTCACTGCAGGCTCACCTGAGTGCATCCACTCGGCGTGGCAACGCTTAACCGCATCCTTGAACGGCTTATTCACACAAACGTCGAGAGGTTGCCATTGAGATGTCATCCTACCCGGGATCCCGACCAGTTCCGTGCTGCAATCGCGCAGGAGCCTCTTCACCGAGTCGGCCAAATGGCAGCGAAACGCGTCCAGCACCAGAATGGATGGAAAAGAGAGCAGGGCACCAGGCCATCTGCACCACACAGACTTTGCCCAGTCTAGGACAAGGTCTTCATTCATCCAGCCTTTATCGTGACATCTCACGATGACATTCTTCGGTAGCTCCTCCCCTTCAGGCATTGTCTCGCACTTGAAGACGAAATAAGATGGGAGCTTGTGTCCGTCCGCCGTGCACGATAACATCACTGTGACACGCGTTTTTTCATTGCCAGTGGTACAGACACTAACCTGCTTCGAGCCCTTCTCCTGAACTGTAAGGGGCGATGGCATGTCCAGGTAAACTGGCGTTTGATCGGCGTTGCCGATATGTCCCAGCTGGAAGTTCTGCGAGCGGCGCAACGTAATCACATGGAATTGAAATGAGATAAGAAGCTCTGGCTACAGGGAGCTTCTGAGAAATGGAGGTTCGCCGGCGCAGGAAAAATCCGGCTCGGCACATGTAACGGTATATCCAGTGCTTGCTGGCTTTGAAGTCCGAGCTCGACATCTCCTTTTCTCTCGCCGGCTCCCTCGCTTTCATCTGCATCAGCTCCATGCTGACTGGCAAGTGCCCCGCCCGCTGCTGTCGAAGGAACTCTGTCAGTGCGAGTTGAATCTCTGGGAAGGCCCCTTTCTTTGGACCGCGAAAGCTTTTTCGTTTTCCGCTGCATGCGAAAAGTGCTTTTTTCTGTCGTCACCATCCACGCACACTTCCCTCGGTGACTCCAAACTGTCTTCCGGCCACACTGTTACCGATTTCCTTGGCAGCTGCAGTGACCTTTCTTTTGAATGCAGCCGAGTACTGGTTTCGGTGCCCTGGCATGTGAAGTGAGGCACAGAACACAGCGAGGTTCACATGTCTGCCCGTCCGCTGTCCAAGCGCTCAAAATACTCAACAACAAAGAAAGAAATGGCACTAGCGCTCACTTTTGCAGCGCGAGTGCGCGAAGATAACAAAGCCAAGCATAGCCACTCGTAGACAAAACGAAGCCGTAGCCAAGCGGCAGTTACGAAACCGAAACTTCAAGCACAATTTCGTTTTTCGAGCAAGTTTTCGTTTGGACCCGCACATAGTACGAGGCGGAAATTTGGAATGCTAATATTTGGAAGAAAACCTCGTATTATACGCAAGTATTTACGGTATACCTGAAGCTTTTGTAATGATATGGAGAATTCAATGACCCAGTCATTACGAAATTCACATTGTATGATGCCGGATTGTTCCTTTGCTGCTCTTAGACGCTTTAATGCTCACATCAACATGATTCATCTCCTGACATTAAGCCTGCCTAACGTCAGTTTGGAAACGATTTCGAAGTACCGGCGTGGCTCGGTGGTAGAATACTGGGCTGGCACGCAAGGGACCCGGGTTCGAATCTTATTGTGTCGTTGGTGTTCTTTATTTAGTTCTTTTCTTATTCTGCACAACAGTGGTTATGGACTCTGCCAGCGGCAGAGAACTACGGCGCATGCGACCCTTGTGATAAGAGCTTCCGCTGTAAAAAGACAAATATTGATACGATGTGCGACCGTTACAACACTGGAATCGTACAATGGTTGAAAATGTTGCGAGGACGCGCTTTAGCCAAGTGATACATGGTGTTTTGAGGACACACATGTAGTTCAATGCTCTAATGCTCTTTGTGTGCGAGACCGACAAAGCCATGTCTTCTCTTCAGAGTTCCCTTCTGCTGTTTTGATGATCTGTAGGCAACGGTTTCCCTGAAGTTGTGTGGAATGTCAAGTATATTGTGCTGCAAACTCACAAAAGCATGTGAACACACAAGAATACTTGTTCCATCTTCGCAGTCGGCTTGTCCTTGCAAGTTCTATGCAACAAATTGGTTAGTCTTGTAACATTACTCAGTTATGAAAAAAGTTTTTTTTTTTTTACTGTTGAATATCGCACCACCAAAAATACCCACTCTTTCTAGGCACAGGTGTCAACAGGACATCAACAAGAACTCACCTCGAATATCTTTCCAGTGCTGGAACCGGCAAAGATGTGGTCCTCAGCCGGATCCGTAACGACTGCCGTCAGTGCGGCCTCCAGCACTACGGTGGCCAGCAGATCACCGCCGTCAATGTCAAACACCCGGCACGTCTGATCGGCCGAGCAAGTGTAGCAGCGTGTCCCACCCAGCGCGCCGATGTGGATGTCGGTGACGTCATAGCTGTGCTGCGACCAAGCGTGCACGGGCTCTGCGGGTCCCTGCGTGCCGGTGCACGCAACCTCAGCCAGGTCCCAGACCAACACTTGGCCATCACGTGATGCCGAGACGAAACGGCCACCATCGTCAGTGAAGCGCAGACACGTAATCACCTGGAAGTGGCGGCTCACCACGGCAAGGAGGTCGCCTGATGAGACCTTCAGAGAAAAGCAGCAAGGACGTTTTAGTGCAACTGTGAATTCACAGTCACTCCAACATCACGTGGTGTCAACGTCCTATGCACTCTCAGCAATAGACCTTAAAATATTAGGAGTAGCTCGGATACTAATACTATTCAGTTAGCGTGACTCAAGGTAATAAATACAATCTGGGTCACTTATTGAGAGTGGTCGAGAGCTAGACTGTGGACGCTGTCCACAGCTTCTACCTCACAATAGTCCATGTTTGAACCATAGCAAAGTGGCCCAGCATGCAGTATAACTGTTTGCTATCATTATGGTGTTGCTGTCTGCATATATTTCCAACACAGTGGTTGAAGAGGCTGACTGGCCACACTATACAAATGCGGTTTAGACTATATATGAGTGTCATTCTTGTGCTCGAGGCTTGCAGTGTTCTTGCACACCTACAGAAATGAGAACTTAAAAATTGTTCAATGGAGTACTGACTATTTTAATATTTTCGGCTTTTAGCTCTACATAAAAACAAGGGTCTCAAGAACACCAAAAAACAGTGCCATAGCACTTGAGAATGCTTTCAATATATATTTTAATACTTTTACCTTAAAAATAGTTTTGCTTTGATGTTATGGAAGAGTTGAAATAGCGACATAGTACCAACAGCTGTCAGTTTGTTGTAAGCCACACATGGTTCACATAAACATCAAATAAGTTGCTGTCGAGAAGCAGGATTCCTGCAATTTAGGCTGCATGCACGATGCCTGCCGACTAGGCTAACTCAATGAACTGTGTTGACTCTCCATCATATCAATTGCGGTGGAGCCTGCTTGCAGATATTGCGTGGCAGAAACTTTAAAATCAAAGTAAAATATTTACTACGTGTTGTCAGGTTGCAGTATGTGAAGAGCGAAGGCAGTGCATATCATGGAAACAATAAATGACCCTTTCGGGGTGCGCAAAAATCTTGTAGGTACTCCTTTAACATACCGAAGAGCAGGAAAACAGCCCACACTAAAAAGGTATTGCTTAAGGGCATGCCTTTACGGCATAGATTTGCCTACAATAATAACTAGATAAAACACTGGCATTATTGTCACCAAGAGATGCTAATAATGATGATTGCTGGGGTTCAACGTCTCAGAACCACAATTCGATTAAGAGGGACGCCGATTGAAAGACTCCAAAAATTTCGACCACCTGAGCTATTTAACATGCACATAAATCTAAGTACATGGGCCTCAAGCCTTTTTGCCTCCGTCAACAATGCGGACCTCGTGGTCGGGATTCGATCTTGAAATGTTTGGGTCAGCAGCCTAGCAATTTAACCACTAGACTGTGTAGGAGCTGCAAGCACGACGGTCAAGCCAGCATAGAAATTATGGGTAGCACGCTAATTTGCCTGAACTTCAATGTTTATAAAACACACCCTCCAACTATGTCCCTCCTACGAACTGCAGCTAAGTCAGCAGTAACCACTGGTGTGCCCAAGCTGGGTGCTGTTGTGCGATACAGTGGCCCTCCACATGGAGGGCCGCTAACCTATATTCACCCGCTCCATCTGTGCCGAATACGTCGCACGGCAGTGAGGACACCATTGATCCACCTATCGCTTTTTTAGATGCGAAGCAGCTCTTTCACACGTGTAAGGCCGTACGTAAGTGCACCCGTACAAACACGCCGCAATGCATTCCCCTCATCGCAGGTGTTGGAGCGGTGCCAAGTAGGTCACGTCACAGCTGCCTGCTGTCACGCACCCCTTGCACGCTTCCCTTGCAAGTGAGTACTGACGTCACTCTCCCTTTCATCCGCAGCAGCTGGCTCCTCCGCCAGCAACACACTTTCCTCTCGCTTCACCCTCTCCACCGCCCACAGCACTCGACCACACCCATCGAGTGGGCTCTTTCTGCTCGTTTATCTGCGATGAAACTTACATGAAACCCAACCCGCCTCCCCTGTCTGCATTTCAAACAAATGTTTACTTGAGTAAATGCTACACCGAGTTTCACTTCAAACCGTTCTTACAACACCCGCGTCGATGCCCATTTCAACCGGCGCACCGCTGCTGCTTTGCATCCCATCGGGGTTCCCTTCAAGGAGATAGTCCATGATATTTTGTTCCAAAACTAATTCAAGATGATGGGGAAGTTGGGCACTACCTTGAAAGAAGCATATCTTCACCTTTGCTGATCAGCCCACTTTCTACAGATATGAATTCCTACACCCTAATGAATAGACTGGCATAGACCATATAGTTTAGGTATCTCGAGCAGGACTTTTGATTTGTATGAGTTAGTACATCCTAAGCAGGGGGAAAATTGCACGAGACGGAGGAGGACGCAGAAACGAAGTACAGATATGAGTGCTGAACCAAGTAATGACCATGTAGTTTGCCTACCTGATACCTTGGTTAGGTGGTTTGTTTGGAATGGTATTCAGTGTGCTGTAAAAATGAGCGATCGATGCCATTAAGATGGCAGTTGTAAGTTCATCACACTTATGTGTACTGTGTTTTTGCGTGCTCGCCCCTCTTATGCAGGTTTTCCCCAGTTAAGAATAGTTTAGATATGCCACAGAACTTTCAGCCTACAAGTGTACACTACACTTGTACTGATGCATTACTGTCCAGCTATAGCATGCAAGACCAGCTTAAAGGCCAACTCCGGCGATTTGTTGACCACGTGAGGATAATGGTGCTTTTATGTTCGTTAGACACTCTTCTCACGTGCCCGATAACTGAAATGCTAAAAAAAATCGAAAATAATTTTTAATTACCGAAAAGCCCCAATACCGAAACCCAACGGAGTGCACTTCTATGTGTGATGTAAAGATTTGCCTGACGCAGCTGGAACCTGCCCGATCGCCCATACATAATGCCCGCCAGATGGCACTACCTGTCCACGCCGTTCGTGGCGATCGGCGAAAACGCTTACTCTGTTATGGAGAGTATATGGCAAATAGTGTGTGGCTCACAACGCAATCCCACTTGGCACCTATCGCGTGCCCACCAACATGGAAAAGGAAATCGCACGCTCAACCCAAGCAGCGCCGGCAGAACCCACACAATACATAGCAGACTTTGCAGTGGCAACATTGGTTCGTCACTTCCGCCAAGCAATACTTAACATCACACACACAATGTTGCCATTAATTCTGGCAATCTATGTGAGTGTTTCGACGCACGTTGTGAAATTCATTCAAAAATAATCTGCGAAACTCTCAAGCCTGCAATTTGGCATGAATGGTGCAAATGTGCAAATGAACGTACTGTTGCGAACGACGGACCGATCCCGCCGAAGCCACCACTGTTGAGAAAGACGGCGACGCCAACACGGCCCCGAAGGCGCCACTGCTTTCAACTCCGCCGGGAAGGTCACCAGCCGTTTGGTAGCGTATGTTTATCAGCTCGCGACTGCTTCTGCGCAGAGCTGATAAGACGAGCGGACGAGACGACGGTGAGTTAAACAAGGTTTATGTACAGCATATATACAGAGGCGTTACAATTTCGGCACTGGGGCCGACAGAGACTCGAAGAGCCGAGCTCTCCTCTCTAACACATAGGTCAGCCTTTCGCCTAAGACCGCTGACTCACACACATGTCGGCCCTCCGACATGGGGACACCTCTCTCGTAGGACTGCCGATCGCGACGCGCCGCAGGGCTTCTTTTATTTACACCGGGTCCAACCAAAATGTCCAATCAGAAGCGCCACTGGTCGTCAGGGCAGGTTCCGCCAATGGGGCCGCCGCGCCATGCGTCAGACCACCAGGCACGAGAACGCCGGCTCGCTGTCACGTGCGCCGCTGACTCAATGCACGTGGGCGAGAGAGGCGCCGCGCGTGTTCACGCCGTCGAGGTGATCGCGCCAGGCCGACTGCGGGCTGGCCTTGACCCAGATTGCCTTTTTCAGAGGCACGGTCGTTTGACGAGGACTCGCTGGCATAACAGCACCCCCGCCGCCAGAAAATGCCCCGGAAAGACGAGCTGCTTCCACGGGGCTCGGATGTCAGGTGCGCTCGTTCGCCAGGTCCCTCCAGGTTCGCCTCCAGGGCCATAGGGAGAATACAGCTCCAAACTGTTCCGGGAACACATCCCATTTTTGACGACGGATCCCAGCTCCACTGGCTTGTCGCCACAACTTGTCGACCAGCTTCACTCGTCTCTTCTGACCATCTTCGGTTTCAGCACTTGTCGATGGTTCTGCAACTTGCTAAGAACGGTTCGACAACAGACAACACACGACACAAGCAAGTGCCCTTGGTCACCCGACAGAACACCAGACAAAGTATAGTACAACATATACCTATCTACGTGTTTATCGGAATTTTGTTCCCTCTACATCAAGAGGCACATGTGGGACAAAAGACCCTTAAAATGACAACTCAATTTTTTTTTTCCCACGTACAACAACGTAACGAATTAGAATACCACAAAGTTGGCCCCTTGAGATCACTCTGAACGAGAGCGCTCAGCCCAGGTCGTGATGAGGTAAAAATTTTGCCCCGAATCGCCAGCGAGAAACCGAAAGGTTGAGAAGTTACTAGCTGGAACTCACTGCTCAATGCACCTGCCTTAGCGTTTACCTTTCCTTTATTTTTTTTTTATTTTTTGATAGCGAACGTCAAAGTTGCGCTGTGGAGCAACATGCTCCACTTCAGTAACCGGCCACTTTTAGGCGACGATACCTATGCGGCACCAAGAGCGGCTCACACTTTCGACGTTGCACAGGGGAACAACGATACGGCTTGCTACGGATTGACTTCTCACCGCTTAGCTCGATATCGTGTTCGATCACCCTCATGTTTCCGGGGCAGTCCGAAAACGCGTCTTCAAACTCGGAACCAATCTTTCTCAGGTCCTCTTTCTCAGGTCCTCCTTCACTTAAGCTAGGCTCTAGGTTTATCTGCTCCCGGATTACTTTCGATCCCCCTTCGATTACCTCACTAGAACTCAAACTTTCTGCTTCCTCTTCCTCTGAAGCATTCAACAACAGATTTACGACCGCTTGATGTTGAACGTATG